CCAACTTCTGAATCATTAAATGCTTCCACAACTAAAATGACGGGTTTGTCGGTTGCAGGAAGAGTCAGCGCTGCACGAGAGCAGAAGCTGAAGCAAGGTGCTCATCCCCAGCAGGGCCCTGCAGGGCCTCCCTGTGCCCTCCCTGGGGCAATTTGCAGCCAATCTGCAGCCCGTGTTCTGGGGAGGTTTCCTATTACCTTCCCCAGCCGCTCCTGCTCTGCTCCTCAGTGAGAGAAAAGATTCCAGAAAAGCATCTGGTCCAGATTTAAAGGCATTAAGAGACAGAGATTGGTGGCTTGTTCTAATAGCTAATCATTATTAAAAGATCGCTCCTTGTTTCTAAGACAGATTTGTCTGGCTTCAGCTTCCAGGAAGAGGCTGTTATTATGCCTTTCCCCGGTAGATTAAGTTACCTCCTTGGACTCATGTTTTCTCCCCATGACAAATGCTGTAATCAAGTCACCTCTCAGTCTCCCCCTGATAAATTAAACGTGAGGCGCTCCCACCTCACGCCCAGCGCCAGCCCTTCCTGTGCTGATTGCAGTGAGTGGCTGGCAGTGATTTTTCTACATTATGAGCAAAAATCTCTCTGTGAGGGAAGGAATGGGTCTGTCCAGCCATGCAGCAGTGGCTGGGAGCTGGTGGTCAATTGTCACCCATCCCACACTGTGTGACCAGCTGGAGAAATCAGGATTAACAATTTCTTCATATTGCCCATCCTGCCCACCTGCCATGGATCCCAGCAGAGCATCCCACACATTCACTCTGCCTTCCTGAAGCCAGGATGCCCCATTAAAGGTGTTTAAACAGCCACTTGGTGTCCCTGGAGGAGGCAGTGCCCTTAGGAAGCAGATCCTCGTGCAGCCCAAGGGCAGACAAGGTTGCTTAAGAAAGATTTGTGGGTCGGCCTCGGATGGCTGTGCTCCTTCTGCCTGGTCATGGCTTCCCATCTTCAGGCTCCCCACACGGCTGAGCTGCTGCTATCCACTCCCTGTGCTGTCTCAGCAGCTGATTTCAGGTTGCATGGGCAGCATCCAGTACTGGATGCACGGAACAGCTCAGTTTTAAGGCTTGGCTGTGCTGATTTAACACCACAGAGCCCTGTTTCCCCATTCCCCCAAATCACACCCAACCTCAGCATCTTTGCCATCCCAGTAAGCCCACAGCCCAGTGCATTTCCAGCCATCATCCCCCTTTGGCAACAACTGAGACTCAAATTTGGCTTCTTTCTCCTACCTAGATGCAGCAAGAGGGATGTTTGCTGAGAAACTCCTACAAACCTCCCATTTTTATCCAAACCAACTCCTGGGGCAGTGCAGTCCCAGTGGCCCCAAGGCATGCTTAATGTTTGCTGCACATATAAAATCTACGTATACTTTAGGATACAAAAACAGACAGCCTACAAATCCCATTTCCAGTACTCTACAGCCACAGTTCTCCATGGTCTTTAAAATACACAGCATGACGCGAGATATTTTAAATAGATCAAAATACATTTATTACATATTTATATTATTTTCTCTATTCTATTTATATTTTTTGGAGACTCTTATATATAATATATATAATATATTTAAAATAACATAAAATTGGCCAGTTTTTTTCTTTTTTCTTTTTTTTTTTTTGTCATTTGAAATACATTTTACAAATATATATATACATTGTCACATATATCTCAAATATATGTGCAATGAGACAGAGAAACTCTGGAGGTGGAGAAGGTACAGAGACTTTCATTGCATCCATCACTTTGCTACCACTGCACGTCACTGTGTCCCCAGCAAACTGATGCTGCCTTTTACCCCTGGGAAACCAGTACTCCCAGTTGCCAAACTGGGGGCCAGCCTCGGTCCCCACATTGCATGGGGCAGAGCCTGAGGGAGCCCTGAGGTGCATGTTTTGGGGGTGGAGGAGGAAAGATGGGGCTTTTCTGAGGTGGTACCCACCCTGGGGATGGGGGCAGCGGGACAGATGTGCACAGCTGGAGGGCGTCCGGACCCAGCCCTGCGCCCACCCCCTGTGGCAGCATCCCTGAATTGGGGGGGTGGCAGAGCAGAATCTGGCCACGCACTCAAGCACAGAAATGGGGCAATGGAGTGGGGTTGGGAGGAGGGGGGTTCTTTTGGTTGTCAGCACACAAAGAAAGGAAAAGAGCAGGAGGGTTTAAAAATAAAACATTTCTGTTCTGCCTTATTAAAGATAGAAAAGGTGGCTCTGGATTCATTTCCTACAAAAGGTTTGAAGGTTGAGCAGGCACCGCATCGCGGGAGGTGAAGCACTCAGTGATTGTCCCAGCCCTAAGGACAGAGAAGAGCACTCCATTGGGTTATGAGGACCCAAGGCTCACACCGACCCAGGGCTGCTGGGGGCTATGGGCACACAGGGTGCCAGGAGGGTGACTGGGGCTGTGCCTTCCTCACCTCCCCCATCCTCCAAGGATCAGTGTAATGGCAGCTGTACTCCGTGGTCTTAACAAGGATTGATTGGGGAGTGCACCATCTCAGCTCTGAGCAGCCCTTCTGGGGGCTCCCACACCAGAACCCAGAACCTGAGAGCATTTCAGCCACTCCTTGGAGCACCTGCCACGTTGGGGCTTTTTGTTGCCTTTTTTTTCCCAGTTCTCTTTCACAACGCACGCAATAAAACCACCAACCGAGGCAGCCTCCACTGTGCTCTGTGGTGGTCATAAAGCAACCAGGAGCTCTGAGCACTCACAAAAATAATATCTGTACACCATGTACCTGCACACCCATGTCCAGAACAAGGACTGTACCGTGCAGGTACAACAACTCACCAGTGCTAGAGCCTCACAGTGGGGTTTGGGGAGGGGACGCATCCACACGAGCAGAGGAGAGCCCCAAATTGGCCTCTCTGGGCTCACCCCCCCCCACCTCCCTACGCAGTAGTTTAAAAATACTTCTGTATATATTATTCTACTCTCCCAGGTAACACTGTACAATCATATAAGTTCCTTTAAAAGCAATAATTTACTTAAAGACATCTCTATATCTCTTTTTTTTTTCCCCCCTTTTTTTTATTTTTGTACAAATATTTACTGTGAGATACATATATTTATAAAGAAATTAACCCTCTGAGAATCCTACAGCAGCAAGATGTGCACCTTTTAATAGAGTTATTATTTATTCAAAAGAACCTAAAACCACTTAAAAGCATTTCTTTAAAAAAATAAATAAGTAGTGCGCACACAAAATCTCTCTGCCCCCTCCCCGTTGCCCTGCCCACCCCCCTGGATGCTGTGGGGCAAAACACAGGGGGCAAAACCATCCCCGTTGGTGCAAAGGGACCGGCGATGGGATGGCAATGTGTCACTTCATCAGAAAGATGAAAGTCGTGGATGGTGTCCAATGGCAAGTCCCAGTGTGTCCCCAGTTTTAGGGACGGCCCTATTTGGGACACTCTTTGCAAAAATGAGATAGGGATGAGGGCTGAGGATAAATCCAACCTGTGCTGCTGGCATTTAGACTAGGCTATAAGGCCTGGACATGGCTTGCCTGTAGTGGGATGGGGAGAGGAAAGTGCCAGGAGCCCACGGAGCTGAAGCACTGCTGCAGACCCCTCTCCCAAGCCCTTATGGCTGAAGCCGGGTACAGGACCCTAGCCCTTCCTGCAGCACAGGGAGCCACATTCAGCTCCAGCATGAGGGGAGCAGTGAGCTACATCTTCCCAACTTCCCTCCTTGCGAAGAGAGAGAAGGCTTCCCATGCACGGCACGGTTTGCCTCATGGCATAGTAGGGACAAGGTTTGGTGGCATGGTGGTGGATGGGTGGAACTGGCGATCGTAATGGTCTTTTCCAACTGTAATGATCCTATGATTCTATGTTAGTAAAAGGCAAACCAGCGTGCAAACAAGACCAGCCCAAAGGGCAGCAGATGGTGGGACAGAGCAATGGGAACGGATGGGATGGGCGTGGGATGAACGCGTGTGAGTTTGCATCTCTAAGGCACAATCCACCTCAAGGTTGGGACGTGGGGACAGGGTGATGTGCAGGACATGGTGAGTTTCCTGACTGGCATCTGTTGGTTTTGGAAAAGAATCCGCCTCCAAACAGAACTCTCCAGTGAATGGGGAATTCACAAATCCCAGCCCGGCAGAGGCGGCACAGACAGTGCTCACATCCTTCTTCTGGGCTACATGAGATGCAACCCAGCAAGACACATTTCACCTTGATCTCCACATTTCAAACGGTTTTTTGAAGGAGAAAACACCACACTGGTTGACGGAATGGGAAAATACCCAAATTCAAGAGCTTTCCAGTCTGCCTTTTGTGCTTTTCATTTTTTCATCCTAGTTCTGGTGGAAGTTATGAATTCCCCACTGGAGACGCAGCACTTCAACAGCTGACGCCCCAGGCCCAATTTCCATCCTGAAGATCAATATTTCCAGAATGTGGCTAATTATTGTGTTTACAAGGGTTCTCTCTACAGCAGTCTGGCTTTTCCTTATTAGCTACTTTGCTGGTAATTACGCTACTCGCTTTCACTGCCACGGACCTGCAGCCACTTACATCTGTTTTCTGCCTATGAAGCAGTGCCAGTGGAAAAAAAATCCACCCCAAAATCAGATGCTGCCTTGGCTTTGAGCTCCTGCATCTACCCAGCAAGTCACCACTCAAAAGACCCCTGCAGCTTATTCATTCCCTTGCTCGCTTTTAAAAAATACCAAATCATTTCTTTCAGATTTAATATTATTATTATTACTAATATTAATATTATTGTTATTATTATTTTGGTAAACAGTCTCCCAAAGGTTATGTTGAAAAAATTAAAAACCCTCTCGCCTCCCTCCCTTCCCCTTTCCCCAAATTAAAAAGAAATACGTTAACGTTGCATGGTATTTCAAGTGTTGTTCTTGTGCAACTGAATCATACTGCCTGCCAGAAAGAGCGATTTTTTGTTTTGTTGCAGCTCAGTTATATATATATAAAAAAAAAAAAAAAAAAAAAGGAAAAAAAGAAAGATAAAGGTTTGTTTCCTGATATTTCCTCTATTTGGATCTCGGCTCCAAGAAGACGCTCGCGCTTTCCCCATGGGGAGAGCCCAGCCCTACAGCCAGTACGGGACACACGTGCCCCGGGACCCCCCCGTCCTCCCAGGGTGTGGGGAGCGCTGTGCCTGCCCCGTCCCCTCCTGCAGACCGCTCAGTGGTTATTGCGATGAAACTGAAAACTAGGAACAAGACTAATTTCTCAAGCATTCCTATGGCACTTGCATTGTTCTGCATAATTTGAGCGGGTTGTAGGGGAAGAGATTAGAAGAGGAAAAAAAATACCCTCGGAAAAGTCAATGAGAGGACCAAGAGTCATATTTCTGACTCCCTCCGGTATGACCTCTGATCCAATGCTATCGTTGCTTGAAGCCGGTCAAACTCATGCCTGTTGTCTGGGCTCAGGTCGTCCAAACCCCTGCTGTCATCATCCTCCTCATCCTCATCGCGGCTCATGAAGGCCAGCTCGTTCTCGTAGCAGAAGGAGTTGGTGCTGGGCAGCAGGAATTTGTTCTCCACCAAGTCCTTGGCGCTGCAGCGGGGCGTGGACGGGACCTCGTATGTTTTGTGGAAGTGGGAATAGTCTACTTTGTATTGGTTTTTCTCCTCAAACAAGACAGGCTCGAAGCGGTGGCCCCACAGGATCTCGCTGGCCAGGTAGGAGCTCCGAGCTTGTGTCGTCATCGCGGTGGCTTCTACCATGCCTTCGAGGATGACCACAATCTCAAAGTCGTCCGTCTCCAAGTCCTGGCGGCTGATCCCGAACAGCGGGCTGTCTTCGTTGATCTCGTGGAGAATGGTAATGGGGGACACCAAGAAGATACGGTCCAAACCTTTATCAAACCCCACGTCGATGTCTATTTGGTCGAGTGGGATGTACTCCCCTTCTTCTGTGATTCTGGGCTTAATTAATTGAGCTCGTACGTGGGCTTCTACTATGTGGCTTTTCCGGAGATTCCCGACTCTCCACATCAGGCAGAGTTTCCCATCTCTCATTGCCACAACTGCATTATGGCTGAAAAGTAACGTCTGGGCCCTTTTTTTGGGCCTGGCCATCTTTGCCATTATTGCACCAATCATGAAAGAGTCGATTATACACCCCACGATGGACTGAACCACCACCATGAAGACTGCGAGCGGGCACTCCTCTGTCACACAGCGGAAGCCATAACCAATAGTCGTTTGGGTCTCGATGGAGAACAGAAAAGCAGCCACAAAGCCATTGACCTGCAGAACGCAAGGCTTGAAGGTATCATCTCCACCTGGGTTTTCTAGATCTCCATGAATGAGTGCAATTAGCCAGAAAATCAGCCCAAATAATAACCAGGATACCAGAAATGCCAGGGAGAAGAGCAAGAGCATATACCTCCAACGGATGTCAACACACGTGGTGAACATGTCTGCAATGTACCTCTGTGGCTTGTCATCCATGTTCGTGAACTCCACGTTGCACTGACCGTTCTTCTTTACAAACCTGTTCCTGCATTTCCTCCTGGTGTGGATTTTCCCATTGCCAAAGCCGTTAATCCCTGGCATGGTGGTCAACCTCAGTCCGTCTTCCTCGGAGGACACTATGCTGTAAGGGTTGACCCTGCCTGCAGTCATCCCTGAGCCAAGCCCACAGTGAAGGGGAAGGGTCTTGTGACTCCTGGTGTCCCCCTGGCCCACCCCTGCCCACCCCCCAAATTCTGGTGCGGTGGAAGAGAAGTCCCACGCTTCCACGTCTTGGCAGCCACGTCACCACAAGTTTCCCGTGAGAGGCTCTGCAATGAGAAAACAAAGACAGGGCCATTAGCTCTCGTGGCAAAAATGGGGTCCACCAAGTGGTGGCTGCATGCTGGGTGGAGACCTCCCTCACTGCCTTTCCCTTGCTTCTGTGGTAAGGCTGCTCCCCAGAATTACATGCGAAGAAGGAATTAAATTTTGTTCTTTTGTACAGCAAACCTTGCTGGGAGACATAGCATTTCTGAGAACCACAACAACACCAGCAAATGAGAAAACTTGGACTGCGCTGGATTCTCTTAATGCTGTTCCCCTTCACATTCCTTGTGAGTTCTGCTGTCAGAGCAGGGTCAGGTTGCTGGAGAGGAGAGCAGAGAGGCCAAGCTGCTCTCCTTCCTCAGAGATATTAATAAAGGTACGCTTGAAAGCAGCCCCATCAGTTCACATCACCCATGCCAGATGGACCGCTGCCCAGCACATCACAGCAGCAGTCACCCGACCTCCTGAGCACCAGCTCTTCTAGGGTCGAGGGAAAACACAGAGAGATGTGGATATATCCTCCATTCCCTGGCCCGGGGGTGGGAGAGGACACAGCCAACGTGCAGCTGGTTGGAGATGGCCCCGGAAAGGCACTCACTCTGGGCAGATGTCCTGGCAAGCAATTTTCCCAATGTGTCCACTGGGACATGGAACCATCTATGGTAACAGATAGGCTTTAATGTCCAAGTCTAATGAAGGGAGAAGTGGTGCTAGGGGACAAGGAGCTAGTTTGATCCCATCTGGATGGCCCAGCTGCAGGATTAGGGACTTGCACTTGTCCCATGGTGTGGGAAGACAAACATATCCTGCTATCCCTTAGCATGTCTGCAGTGGCAACAGGGAGCACATCATGCTACAAAAGCAACTGCAAGAAGCTACATCCCAAGCATCCCAAAGAGGTGTCTCCCAAACTGCCTCTGCCATCATGAACACTATTATTTAACGATGTGGGATGTGCCAAGGGAGATGACACCTTGCTGCCAGCAGAACCCCTCCGAGACCCCCACTCCCCCAGCCCAGAGGTGCCCGGCTCATGGCTGTATTCTCTGTTCTGTACCCGCTGGCCTGATCGATGCGCTCGATCCCTGCAATCAGCAGGAGCCCTGGGGACAGGCAGGGACAAGCATACCCTTTCCATTACACACAGGCCAGGCTGGGCGGCCAGCCCAGCATCACTGCCAGCACCAGGGAGCATTGCCAGGCACCGCCTGCCTCGGGCTGCATCAGCCCGGATAGCAGCGATCTGCTGGACTTCCTTTTACATAAATTCTCCCCAAATCCATCCTGAAACTTGAGGATCACTGCAGAAGCCCAGCAGGAAAATCAACAAACTACTCATACTTCCTAGGTTCTGGTAAAAGGTTGATGCATGCCTGCATCTGGTACACCAAGCCCCTTACTTCCACTTGCTGCTGTCCAGATGAGCAGTTTTATGCCCCAAGCTGATTTTTCAAACACCTTTTTCACATTTTGGGGTATCAGCAAACAGAGCGATGGCTCTGGAGGTAAAACTCAGCACAGCTGTGCTGCTGGGGATGCTCAGACATGAAAAGAGAAAAACAGACATTAAGAGTTGTTAATACTGATGGTTATCATTAACAATTCCTATTGACAGTTAATACTAACCACCCCATGGACACTGTAAGCTACAAGGACTGAGCAGGTGGCTCAGACAGCCTGCTCCCCAGCCCACGTCCTCCTCCTGACCACACTGCCTACATCTACATAGGCTTTCTCTCCTCCTTTTTCACAGAACTGAGCATTTGGAGACACACCAGGCTGCCTGCCCTCCATCACCCCACAGCTCACCCCACAGCCCCATACGAGCACCCCAAGCAACAACATGCCACATGCTTTTGTCACCGGATACATTTATTTTTGTTGCTTTTTATTTATTTATTTATTTTTAAAAATTAATTCTAGACGCATTTGAGCAGTGGACAAAATGCAATGAGCTCCCGGTGACCTGTGAGAGGATTAGCTGGGGCTGGATTAGCAGTGCTGGGGGGAAGATGTGCCCGGGTGGTGTGGAGGCACTGCCTCAGCCTGGTGATGCTCTGCAGACCTGGGGCTGTCACCACTATCACCCCTCCACTGCCTGTCTCCCCTTCTTGCTTCCTCTTCTGCTCCTTTGTCCCTGCTTCCTTCCTGTCCTCTCCTTTCCATTCCTTCTATCTTTCTTTCTTCTTTCCCTCCTTCTCTATTTCTCTATTTTCTTTTTTTCTTTTTTTTTCCTTCATCTTTCCTTTTCTTTCCTTTTTTCTTCCTTCTTTTCATTTTTCTCTTTTCCTCCCTCCCTCCCTCCCTTCCTCCCTCCCTCCCTCCCTCCCTCCCTCCCTCCCTCCCTCCCTCCCTCCCTCCCTCCCTCCCTTCCTTCCTTCCTTCCTTCCTTCCTTCCTTCCTTCCTTCCTTCCTTCCTTCCTTCCTTCCTTCCTTCCTTCTCTCCCTCCCTCTTCCTTTTCTTTCCCTCTCTCTTTTATTCCTTTTCTCATCCCTTCCCTTCTTTCTCTCTCACCTTTTCCTCCCTTCCTTTCCTCTCCCCCCACCTCCCCACATCCCACAGCGTTTCTCCCCACCCGTGTTCATGGGACACCCTGTGCTGCAAGCAATGCCACGACACCCAACTTTTCCCAGACCGGCTCAGCTCTTGTGGCACTGCCAACCCCCATAACCCCCCTCCCCCCCCCCACGACATGGGATCAAAGAATCGGGGAGGGGGGGGACGGGACACAAACCCACAGCCGGGAGCAGCTCCAGCCCCGGGGACAACAGCAGAGACCCGGGGAAACCACAGCAGCACAGAGCAGCGCAGCGGGGCTGTGCCGGAGCACGCGCTCGCTCGCAGCTCTCACTTTATTTAGCACAGTTTTGTTTTGAAACGCAGAGTTTGCTGAAAGCTGAATTTGCTTTTAATTTGAACACCGAGACCCACGCTGGTGCTGCAACCGCATCGAAACTGCCGGAGCATCCCAGCCTGGGAAGAAACTCGTACCTTAACAGAACCCGTGAGCCCCATCCTCAACACACACCACAGAGAAAAAACCCCAACAGGACTCCTGTACCCTAACAGCAAGAGGGGCAGCCCCCGGCTCCCCCCGGGCTGCGTACTGCGATGGCTGACGCCAGCTCATTAGCTGACATTAGGAGCACCGACGCCTGCAGCCACCCAGCTCCCACCGCAGAGCCGCTTCCCGCAGAGCCCGAGCGTCTGGAGCAACCCGCCGACAGCACTGCTGATTTTATTTATTTTTCTTAAAAGGGGCCTAAAAGTTACAATAACGGACAGAGAGCGCGCCGGGAAAAGTTGGCTACAGGCAACTGAGTGAGCTGCCGCGATTTAGCATCACACCTTGCCCTGATGAGCAGCCAGGGCATGTGGGTCCCCGTGGCACAGCAGAGGTGACAGCCCATGAGTGGATGGGACGGCACAAGGAGGTCAGTCCGGGCACTGCTGCCTGCCCTGCAGCAGGAGATAACGTCCTTATCTCCCACAGCAATGCCCTTCATGCCCCAGCAGCGGGGTGGCAATGTCAGTGTGAAGCAGGAGCCCCAATGGGGAAACCCAACCCAACCCAACCCCATAAAACTGCGGGGTCACGGGGCTCCCCTTCAGGGCCCGGTCTCAGTCTGGGGAGAGAATTATTCTGCCTGAATCATTCACCTCACTGCCATCCTATCTTTGCGCATTTCCAATTAATTAAGAGCTGATGTGAGGCGAGCCAGGCCCTGACAAAGTCCCGAAGATAAATGTCCCTCTGCATCCCCCGTGCTGACTGGGAGGACGGGCGGATCTCCCACAACGGCGCATTCCTAATGAGAAATATCTGCTCGGTTTCAGCAGGGACAAGGTGGGGAAATAACACCTCTCTCACCAACCTCACTAGAGCCTCACGTTGCTGTCAATGAGCCTAAATGGTGCACACAGAAGGGAAACTGAGGCACGAGGACATGGTGGGATCAGGGCACCCAGCAGTACCCATACCCAGAATGGGGGGCCCTGGAAGTGCCTTGCTGTAGCATGCAGGGATGGGTCTGGAAATGCCACATCACCCGTGGTGACCCCCAGCTTGCAGCCACCCTGCTGGGTCTGAAATCCCATCTCCTGGGATATTTCAGCTGTTTGTCTGTCTGCTCACATCCGCAGCGCCGGATAGCGAGGGGTATGGTGAAGGGTGAGAAGGAGGGCAAGTGGGGGGGGGAGGGGGTGCTGAATGCTTTGGCAGGGTCAACAAGCACTGAGGGACACACAAAACCCCAGGGATGCATCCAGATGGCTGCACCCACACACACAAACCCCTGGGGTCCCACAGCCCCTTCCCCAGTCCCTTTACTCCATCCTGGGATTAATTCCCCCCTGGTAAATCTTCCCTAGGAAAGCCACAGTGTAAAGGGTCAGCCCTTACCTGGCTTGAGCCTGGGGGGGTCTCTCCAGTGCTCCCCAGCCATGGCTGCAGGGCGCAGGGTGCCCCGTGGCCCTGCTGCAGCCCAGGAGAGAGACAGAGAGTTTTAATTGAATTTCTAGATTATCCTGGGGGAGAAGTTGTAATCTCCTTAAATCCAACCTCTGCTTGAGTCCCATAACCTACTGTCCTGCGCCAGGGAAGGGATTTAGTCAGGGGGAGGGGAGGTTTCCCAGCCTGCTTGTGCCCACTGAGCCCCCAGCCCCACTCAGCACCCTGCATACTGCATGATGTGTCCCACAGGGATCTGATCCTGCAGGATGGGCTCAGCCATTTCAGGGATCTGATCCCACAGGCAGAACACATTGCGGTTGCCCCTAGAACCCCCCTCAAGAGGTGATGGAGATGCCTGATTCTGCCCAGTGCCTTTTGGAGCAAGCCCCTTTCTAGGTACTCGTGACTGGGAGATGAAATGCAATAGCAGCCACCCAACCTGTGCTGGCAGCTTGGGGTCCTGGTGGGATGTGCAAATCCCCAGACACAGTGGTCTCCATCCTCCCCCCAAAAAATCCTCTCTGGACACCATGAGCCAGAGGGTGTTT